ACTTGACCAAGGATAGAAATAGATTGATATAGAATAATTCCACCAACAAGAGTAAAATACTAATTCTTTTCAAGTGTACTTGGAATATTTTCATGCATAGGCCTTAGTATGGGCCATAAATAAGTCTCAATAAATTTAAAAGGATTGAAATACTACAAATTGTGTTCTTTAACCACAATAGAATTAAATTAAAAATCAACATTATAAAGAAATATAGTAAGTTCCATAATATTTTGAAATAAAAGAATACATTTCATAAGAACCCAAAGATCACAGAAGAAACCACACACAAAGAGTCAGACAATATCTTCAAATTAATGAACACAAAAAATAATATCAAAGTTTAAGAAAGACAGCAGAACAGTGTGGAGAGAGGAATTTATAACTTTAAATGTTTGTATCAGAAAAGCAGAAATATCTAAAATTAATCATCTAAAGAAGCTAAAAAAGAAAAAATCATGTGCCAAGTAAGTAGAAGAAAGAAAATCAATGAAATAGAAAAGAAGAAAATAGGAAAAAATAATTGAAATAAAAAATTGATTCTCAAAAAATATCAACAAAATTGATAAGCCTTTAGGCCAACCATTCAAGAAGAGAAAAAAGAAAAAATACAAATTACCGAAGTAAGGAATGAAAGAAGGAACGTCACTACTAAACATACAAAAATCAAAAGGACTATAAAGGAAAAGTATGAACAACCTCAAGCAAACGAAGTAGACATCTTAGATGAAATGGATACATTTCTAGACAGACACAAGTATCAGAGTTAACTCAAGAAGAAATATATATACACATAAAAATATATATACATATATACATATCTCAAGAATTTGATATAGTAATTTTACACCCCCCCCCCAAAAAAAAATAGGTACAAATGTTGTCGCTGGTGAATTCTAGCAAATATTTAAAGCTGAAATAATATCAATCCTGTACAAACTCTTCTAGGAAACACAGAAAGAAGAGGCAGTTCTCAATCCATTCTATGAGGTCAGTATTACCCTAATGACAGAGGAAGACAAAGAAACTGCATAACTACAAACCAATGTTCCTCAGAAATAGACACAAAAACCATTAACAAAATATTAGCACACTGAATCCAGGAAACTATAAAAAGGATTATGTACCATGACCAACTGGGATTTATCCCAGGAGTGAAAAGCTGTTTTAGTATTGGAAAATCCATAATGTGATAAACCATATTACTAGAACAAAGAGGAAAAAGCAAATGATCATCTTAACACAGAAAAAGTATATGACAAAATCTAATACCCAGGCATGATAAAATCTTTCAACCAGTTAGGAATAAATCTTTTCATCTTCTATTAATAGATCTTCTAATAAAGAGCATGTACAATAAAAACTACAGCTAATATCATGTTTAATATAAAGAATGTTTTCCCCTAACATCAGAAAGAAGTTAAGGATGTGTGCTTTCACCACTTCTTTTCAACACTGTACTGAAGGCTCGAGTGAGGGAAACAAGGCAAGAAAAAAATTAAAGACATACAGATTGGAAGGGAAAACCTATTGAGTTTCTTAAAAAGTGAAACATATAGTTAGCATACAGCCTAGCATATAGCCATATATTTATAGCAGCATTGTTCATGATAGCCAAGAACTAGAAATAAACCCAATGTCCAGCCAAATGTTCATAAAATAGAAATAATGTTAAATTTAAAGATAAAGTTTGAGAGAACTGCCTTCAAAATCTCCAACCTATGAACACTGTGTGTTGTTGAATTTTTAGAAAATGATCTTTAATTTCTCTCAGCAATGTTTTGGAGTTTTTAGAAGAGAAAAAAGTCCCATATAATAAAATAATATTATTCATCAAAAAAAGGCAATGAACTACTAATACATAGAACATGCATAAACCTCAGAAACATTATTCTAAGTGAAAGAAGCCAGACATAAAAAAAACTACATATTATATTAATCCATGTATATGAAATTTCTAGAAAAGGCAAATACAAAGAGACAGAAAAAATCAGTGCTTCCTGGTGAGTAGACGTGCACATAGGAAATGACTGCAAGTGAGCATCAGGGAACTTTTGGAATGGTGGAAATATTCCAAACTGGATTGTGATGGTGGTTCACAAGGGTTTAAATTTTCTAGAAATCACAACTATAGTTACAATGGGTGAATTTTGTGAGATGTAAACTATACCTCACTGAAACTGTTAAAGTAAGGAGAGAAGAATGACCCTGCCTTTCCTATAAGAACTGTTATTTCATGGTAACCAAACTGCTGATGAAGAAATAAATTTATAGAAGAATTCCAGCTAATAAATACAGAAAGAGTGACAATATTATTTTAAAATATCACATTTTGCAACCCCTAATGAAAAAATGGATCTCAGTGAATGCTAGAGTTATTAGATGAAAGGCTGATGAGGAACTTGATAATGGAGGAGTCAGGCTGATGCTGCCTGGAGCCAAATAATCAATCTTAACATCATTAAACTTAAGACAATAAGATATTATATGCCACTTGATATGATGCAATAAAAAGTACACATCACCAACTATGAAAGGTTCTTGCCAAAAAAACAAAATAAGCCTGAATCTAATCAATCCTCTATGTCTAATTTCAATTTACATAATATAAGTAATAAACAAGCTAACTAGCAATTTAAGGAAGCAATTAGCCAAATCCAAATTGTAGGACATTCTAAAGGACCTGGTTTTTCTAACAAAACCACAGCATTTTTTTTTTAAATGAGGGACACTATCATAGAAAAAAAGAAACTCTAAGAGCTAAACAGTCATACATGTATGAACCACACCTTGGCTAGATCCAGTTGTAAAAAGACATTTTGGTGACAACCGGGGAAATCTGCATAATGACTACATATTTGATGTTATTAAGGAATTACATTAATTTTGTTAGGTATGAAACCAGCATGGTGGTTATATATATACACACATATATACACACATGTTTATCAGTCAGAAGTCATGCCAGAGTATTTGCAGTGAAATGATTTATAGAATTAACTATTCCAACAGTTTTTTTAAGTGTCAGGGTGAACATGTAATAAGACTGGCAACATGTTAAACACTGTTGAAGCTGGTTAACAGGTATATGGGACTTCAACATTTCCTCTGCTACACTATTAGTGTGTTTTTAATTTTTCATATTAATATCATTAAGGGATAATGAAATATTACAAAACTGAGAGAGGGAAAAAAACGTAAAAGAAAAAGGAGCCCAAAGCTCACTAGAGAGGTCAGGGATAAAGACTGACATGGAAGTCATCAGAAGATAGGTTATCTATAAAGCCAAGTCTTCAGAGAGTATTTAAGGAAAGAGTAGAAACCAAGTCAAAAGAGATCAAAGAAGTGAGGCCAGTGGAATACCAAAATTTAAAACCAGGGCAGAGAAAGATGAATTTCAGAAAGATACCAAAAAGTGAAGTGTCAGTGAGGAGGGGAAGGGACCTAAGGGAAAAGCTGAACCGGGGAAATCGAGGCATTAAAACTTATAAACAGTGATGACTGCTAAGTACTCTTTTTATAGCCCCAGAATTTCAAATCAAATAGAAAAAAAATTGTGTTTTTTAATGTTCTTTTATTTTAAATTTTTTATTTTTCAATTCCAGTTGACATACAATATCAAATTAGTTCCATGTGTGCAACCCAGTGATTAGACTCTATATAACTTACTAAGTGATCATCCCAATAGGTCTAGTACCCATCAGACACCATACATAGTTATTACGATAGAGACTATATTCCCTAGGCTGTACTTTACATCCCCGTGACTATTCTGTAACTACCAATTTTGTACTTATTAATCCCTTCACCTTTTCACGCAACCAGCCCCCCAACACCCTGCCCCTCTGGCAATTGTCAAAATGTTCTCTGTATCTATGAGTTTGTTTCTGTTCTGCTTGTTTGTTGATTTTGGTTTTTAGATTCAATTGTTGATAGATATGCATTTTTACAACAGAAAAATTTCAGAATGATGAAATAATTATCTTCATACTTTCTAAGATACACAATTTCCCAGATACTGACTAAAATGTTCAGGAAATATTAAAAGTTATATATCCACTGGCACCAGATTGCCACCTAGCTGTCTGCCACAGTGAAAGACAGAATACCAAGTGATAGAACAGCTATAAAAAATAATATATTGTCATAGGTGATAAAGAATTCTCTGCACAAGAGTCACTAAACTATAAATTCCATGAATATAGGACCACAAACCCGCCCGATCCGTCCCTATATGCCCAGATTCCAGCATGGTGCCAGGTTCTGGGTTTCTACATTGCTCTAGTCCCAGTGGTGTGTGGATGGGGTGAAGGTGTGGAGGAGATGACTGATATTGATGATGCCCAATACTGTTGACAGTTACATATTAGACCAATCTGGTGACTCCTGATCCCTTTCTAACTACAAGGATAAACAACAGAGCTTTTCATTTCATACCCAGAGCTCAAATAACTTACTTCCAAGGGTATACCTTTGCATTGCTGTTCTCACAAATAGCTGTACCTTTTTATAGTTGACTCCCAGTACTTTGAAGAATTTATTGTTATCCACAGCCTTGAAAATGTCTTTCAAATAATTTATTAACTTTAAATGTAATTCAAAATGCAAAACATATGTATTTTAAACTACCATTACATCAATCTTCTATTATTTACTCTGTAGATTTTCAATACACTGAGAGTTAAGACATGTTTTTATCTGCAAAGTCCTACCTAATATGAATCTCTGCTCTTACATTATAAACGATCTTAATCTTTAAAAAGTTCCAATAAGTCTTTTTATTTTCCACAACCAACTACAGAAAAAAGAAAAAATTCCCAGCCTCTCTGCAGCACATTTTTTTATTATTATTATCTCCAGGTATACTCTGAAATTCCAAAACAGAAAATGCTCAAGATTTTTTAAATTCTTATTAAACCCTTTTTAACTTTTATCTAATTCAAGATTAAAGAGCATAATTCTCAAATGTCTTAGAATCAGGAATTAGAAGTTAAACTTACATTCAAGCTGTGCAACCACATCTCCAGGGTCTACTGCTTCAGGGAACACCTGGAGTGGGAGAATGGAGAGGGAAGCGTGAGGGGAAGAAGTGAAAGGGACATGTCTATAACATAGTCTTTGTCTTCTCCCTCTCGTGCCCAAAATATTCCTTTCCTAACCAAAGAAACTTCTGACATTACTGAGAACCATCACTTCCTCTCTGTGTTCCATGATCACTACAGGAAATTTTACAAACAAACCTAGCTGGCTCTGCCTCCCTCTCAAACTTCATCTGCTAGCATGCTTCCCTTTTTTTGTTACCACGATCATATTGGCCTTCTTGGTGTTCCTCTAACTCATAAAGCTTATTTCCAACAGGAAGCCTTTGTGTTGCTATTCCTCTGCCTAGAATGCTTTTCCCCAGACCTTCAAATAACTGATACTGTCCCATAATTCAGGTACAGCTTAAATGTAATGGCGTTCTCTGAACACACTTTAAAATAGACAGTCCCCCTAATCCCCTAGTCCCTCTCAGTCCCTTACCCTCCTCCTTTATTCTTTTCACGACACTTATCACTATCTAAAATCACATTATTCATGTGTTTACTTAATTATTGTCTGTTTCTCCTATCAAAATGAAAGCTCCAAGAGGAGGAAGATGTTTGTCTACTCAGTGCTTTAAAAAGTGCATGGAACAGAGCAGGTACTGGGTAATTATTTGTGGAGAAAAGGAAGAAGGAATGAAGGGAGGGAGGGAAAGAGGGATGAAGAGAGGGAAATAAAGAAAAAGGAAATTTTGAAAGTGAGAAATATAATTGGTAATAACCAAAAGCAGCGATTTTAGGGGAAAGAAGAAATGAGATTTATAGAAAGAAGTATCACAAGACAGCCATAAGTAAAATATGACCTATTTTTACCCATTATTTCCTCTTTTTTTATAAAAATGATTATTTAGAATTCAAGGTGCTATATTTGACATAAAGTACACTATGACAATTTTTAGAAATAAACTGATCCATCATGAAAAAGAGGCCATTGATTCAATGTATAATATAATTTATATTTATTTTTAAGCCTCCAAATTTATGTGACAAATCTTCTTTTGAATTAAATCAAAGTACATAGTCAGCAATAATAATTTGGGTTCTGGGATTTTATTCAAAATTTGGAGCTACTTTCATTTTTTGTTTGTTAATTTTGATCTGAGATTTGAACTTACCTTTTCAAACACCATTCTGGCATTGAAGACCAATGGAAAAGTGGCTGGGACACATTGTGTCTTTTTGTATTGGCCAAACACACAGATGCTAAGATAGATGTCCTCCTTATCTTTCAGCACCACTCCTGGACAAGTTACCTGAAAGAAATTAGGTAGATGGATGTAACTGCTTTATCAATTTCCTGATCTATCTTGCTAAAATGACTTATAAAACATTACATAAAAACACTAGTTTGCTAAGCTAATAAAAATATGCACAAATGAAAAGATAGATTCTAGCATTTACAGAGTTAAAGGAAATGCCTTTATAAACTCCATCCCCCTGAGAAATCTATGATTTTCCCTTTGGTTATCTGTGCCACATTTGAAGCTCTATGTATTGGTTCTTGGGACAGACACTAATAGTTTTAAATAGTCAGCCTTTAGGTGCCCACTCCATGCTAAATGCTGACATAAACTCATTCAGCATCATTTAATCACAAAGGATTAAGAATCAGCAGAAATAAAGTACTGTACTAGACCAAAAAAAACCACCCGAAACAAAACAAAAAACCAAACCAAACAGAAAAACGATAAAGAGCACAAATCTGACCTGTATTAACCTAATAGCAGCCTATACACGACCTCATCAAAACCAATATGACAAAGTTTCAAAGCAAGTGAATTGAGTGAATTGGGTTTTAGCCCAATACAATATTTTTTAAATATAAAATTGCACTTAACTATCCTCATGGCTGACAGAAAGTATAGGCATAAAATGTGGGGTTTCTCAAAAATCGCTAGTACAGTCTCTGCAGGCGCTACCATATTTCATTGTCAGTGATCACCCATTCCCTTAACGGGATCTGAAAGGCTCTCTGAGATTTAAATCTGACCTACCCACATAGTACTATTACCCAATACCCCCTAATAATAGGATCAAAGTATATTTTTTATTGTTCTCTGAACACACATTGCTTTCTCGCCTCACATTCTTCTATTATCTGGATTACTACACCTTACTACTCCACTCCATCTCCTCCTCATTTACTCCCACCGCCTGCCAAGGCTTGTGCCAACTGTCATTTCCTACAAATAAAGAAACTTCTCTTGATTCATCAGCTACCATTATTCAATTCAATCTAAATCAGATATTTATTATGACTTTACTATGTGCAAGTAAATATGTTTTAGATTCTCATAGCATTTTGTAGTTCTCTTAAGGTCCTAATTATTGTCACCATGTATTTTAATTAAGTGAGTGCATCTCACCTCTTTTATTTGACTGTACATTTGCTGAGGACAGAAATTTTATTTCCCTCATCAATGTATTTAAAAACACCAACTTTCAGTATTAAGAAGAAGCTCAGAGATTATCTAGTATGGCTTTTGATATTTTATATATGAAAACAATAGAGCCCCAAGAAAGAATAAGTGATTGACTGATTAAATTCAAACAGTAAATGAGTCAACACAATACATTCAAAGTGCTTAGAACAGTGCCTGACAGAGCATTTATTCAGTACTAGCTACCACTGTTAGACTGAAAGCCATTCTCTGCAATATTAATACAGACTACTGCATTTAATAAATGACTAAGACTTCATGGCCCTTTGCACACAGCAGTTTAGATGATTTTCTATGCCAGATATTTTTTACTCTTATCTACCTCTTATTCTATTTTCCACTTTTCCTAATATGTTCCTTATTGATTACTAAAATCAAGGTGCTCAGCAAATCTCATTCTGTCTACCAGCTTCTCTGCCTCATTAAAACCAAAACCATCTTAGAGTCCCTCAAATCCATGTTCTCCAAAGTGGTGGCTGCTACCACTGATGCCTATAGATGTGCTCATTCAAACTGAAATGGGTTGTAAAGTGCAAGGTTCTTGTAAAATGCAAGATTTTGAAGATTTTGAAAACTTATTACAAAAAAAATGTAACTATCTCATTAATAACTTTTATATTAATTATATTTTGAAGGGCTATTTTTAAGATATTGATTTAAATAAAATTATTGTTAAATTAATTTATGTACTTCTTTTAGCTTTTTTAATATAGCTAGAAGAACATTTTAAATTACATAAATCTATGACACATACTATATTTCTATTGGACAGTGCTGCTCTAATTGTCCTCACTATGTCTCTTTCCAATTTGTAATATATGCAAGAAGGCATGACTTTTTTTCTCATCTATAATTCTACAAATTCTGCCATCCTTTAAAGGAATTGCCAGGATCTTTCCAAAAAGAAAATAGGAAGAGGGGGGGTGTTAATCAGGCAAAACAAAATAAATAGCAAAGTAGTTGACTTAAACCAATTCTACGGATAATTTCATAAATGTAAATATTCTAAGCATTCTAATTAAAAGGCAGAAATTGTCAGATTGGATAAAAAAGCAATCTACAATATGCTGTCTCTGCAAAAAAAAAAAAACTTTAAAGATAAAGACCCACATAAAGAAAGTCCTTTCGGAATGAAGAAATAAATACCTCCCAAAAGCAGCCCCTCTCTATAAAAGCAATGGGAACCTACCAAAATCTGTCAACTACAAATTTTTAGAGCTCTGGAAATTAACCAGAGGTTTACAATAATCTAAGGAGTATTTATTCAAGAAAAATATTTGAATTCTGATAAAAATCCTAATATTGTGGTGTTTCACCATACTCTATTCCCAGTCCTTTCTACCCAAGTCTTCTGTAGCCTTGAAAACCAAAACCCTTACAATCATAGTAGCCATGAAATCAGCAGCCCCACAGCCATTGGAGAAGAGATTTAGACCACCCAAAAAGCCTATCCTCAGACATACCTAACTTCTTGTATGTCTGATATATTTCAAAATAAATGTTTTAAGAATAAAAATCTTAAAACTAAGTATTTGATTCATAAACTAAAATTTCATCAATGAACACAAATGAAAGATCCTAAACAAAAAATTAGCCAATCAAATCCAGCAAAATATAGTACAAATAATATATCCTGACCAAAAAGAATTTATAGGGATGGAAAGGGTGCAACATCACAATATGTGTCCTTTTTGTAAAGATGGAAGTCACATTATATAGTAATTTCATTAGATTGAGAAAAAGCATTCAATAGAATTCAATTCTCAGAATATTTTTAAAATTCGGAGAAGGAAACTTTCTTAACTCAGTAAATGGAAATCCTACAGCCAATATTATATTAGGTCGAACTATATGAAATTGCCATGTTTGTTCATTTGTATTAAAAATATGGTCCACTGTCAGCAATTTCATAAGATTCAACCTAATACTTGAGGGTGAAACATTAGAAGCATAGCTTAAAATAGAAATAAAAGACAAGTATATCTACTACTATTCCTATCATTCAACATTATACGGGGGATTCTAGTCAAAGATATAAGTAAGAAAAAGGAAGATTATATGAGAGAAGTAAAAACTGTCTATTTGCAAACATGACTTTCCACATAGAAAATCCATACAACTATGAGAACAAATATGAAATTTCTGCAATGTTGCTGAATACAAATGTAAAGAATGTTCATAGGAACACAATTTGTAATACTCCAAAACTGAAAAAGATGATATGTAATGCCCACCAACAAGAAAATGGACACAGAAGAACAGAGCAGTTTTGTAAAGACGACATACAAATGGCCAACAGGGACATGAAAAGCTGCTCAACATTACTAATCATCAGGGAAATGCAAATCAAAACGACAGTGAGATATCACCTCATACCAGTTAGAATGGCTACAATTAATGAAAAAGACAAGATAACAAGTGTGAGTGAGGGTGTGGAGAAAAGGGAACCCTAGCACACTGCTGATGGGAATGCAACTGAGTGCGGCCACTATAGAAAACAGGATGGAGGTGCCCAAAAAGTCAGAAATAGAACTACCACATGATCCAGCAATCCCATTTCTGGGTATATATCCAAAAGAATTGAAAATGGGTCTCACAGAGATATCTGCAGGCCCATGTTCACTGCAGCATTACTCACAATTGCCAAGATACGGAAACGACCTAAGTGTCTATCACCAGATGAATAAACAAAGGTGTGTGTGTGTTATTCAGCCATGAGAGAGAAGGAAACTCTGCAATTTGCAACAATTTGGATGAACCTTGAAGACATTACGCTAAGTAAAAAAGTCAGACTGAGAAAGGCAAAAACTGCATGGTATCACTTACACATGAAATATAAAAATGATAAACTCAGTGAAACAGAGTTGAGTGGTGATTACCAGGGGTTAGGGGGTAGAGAGGTGTGAAATTAGGAGATACTAGTCAAAGGGTACAAACTTCGAGTTATAAGATTAACATGTCTGGGGCTCCAATGTACAGCATGGTGATTACAGTTAATAATACTGTATCATATACTTGATTGTTGCTAAGAGTATAGATCTTAAATGTCTTCACCACAAAAAGGAAATGGTAACTGTGTGATGGAATGGTGGTAATCATTTTGCAATTTTTAAGTGTATCAAACCAACAAGTTGTACACCTTAAACTTACACAGTTCTGTCAATTATATCTCAAAAAAGCTGGAGGAGAAAAAACAATAGAAAGAATAAAGAACTATAGTCTCACGAAACAAAGATGTTAGACATCTTTATGGGGGGGAAAAGATGTTAGACAATTAAAAAGTTCATACCGGGGAGAGAGAGAGAATTTCAAAAGTTCAAAATACATTGTGACAGAAGTCAAGATAGCCCTAGCTGGTCTGGCTCAGTAGTTAGATCGTCGGCCTGAGGATTGAAGGGTCCTGGGTTCAATTCTGGCCAACGGAACATACCTCGGTTGTGGGCTCAATCCCCACTCTGGTTGGTTTGTTAGCGGGAGGCTACCAAAGGATGTTTCTCTCCTTCTCTCCCCACCCCCAATCCCACTCTCTCTGAAAAGCAATGAAAAAAAAATCCTCAGGTGAAGATTAAAAAAAAAGAAGTCAAGATAGTGGTTACCTTTAGGAGGGGAAGAGAGCAGGTGGGGGGGGAGGGGGCAGGTGGCTTGGATAGAGGAATGGAACACAAGGGAGCAATCTCGGGTGCTGATAATATTCTAATTATTGGTCTGAGTAGTGATTACACATTTAGGATTTGTGTACTCTGTGACTGTAAGCTATAGTTCCATAAAAACTTAATTTAAAAAGTCGATAGCGCCCGGCCGGGTGTGGCTCA